TCTGCAATTGAGCATAAAATAAAAAATAACTTCAGTCAAAGAGCATAACTGGCATTATACTCACGCCCATCAATTGGTATGGAAAAAAATAATTTTACCAGGTTTCAAAAAATCAATCAAAATTCAAAAAAACATAAATATTAAAATCAAAAAATGTATATATGTATAGAAATACATACATATAATGATTTATGGCCGCTTACTAACTGACGGTGACTCACTATAACATCCTACAGTCATGCCGAAACTAAAAGGAGAGAATCACTGTAGAAAAGGTAATAATTTATGGCGGAAATTTTGTGATAAAATTAAAAAAATTATAAACTTATCCAAGTTAATCTAACTTAGTCTAACTTATCCTTATGCGTTACAAATAAAACAAATAATAAAATAGTGAGATGGCGTCAGTTTTTAAGAAGATATAACAAAAATAAACAAAAAAATAAATTTCAAAAAAGTTCAGTATTTAATTGATTATATACCGCTGACACTTAATCACGCTTTTCGAAACCGCGCCAGTTGTAAACAATACTTGTGTGAAAAGACAAAATCTTCTTTTCAAATTTCCGCCGAGTTGTAAGTAGAAGGCCAAATAGGTCACGTGTCAATTTTAATTAAACATATTTTATATGAAGTAATCTTGAGTACGTTTCATCAATTAACCATTGGTAAAAATTAGAAAAGGAATTTTACGATAGTGTTTACAAAAAACATTATTAGTTGAACCTTGCAGCTTGTTCATTATTTTTATTATAAATACCTATAAATGTATATATTATTAGTAAATATTTCCCATAATATATTGGATTATTTTTTATTTTGCCCTATCTGCAATGTTCTACGCTCTATAGAAAATGTGGCGTATGACATGACTGACAATCTTTCGAACATTTTATCTAGGTACAAAGATGTTTTACGTTTTTGTCGCCTCCACATGATATTTTTGTCAGCATAAAGTACCCTTCTATATCTGAAACGAATATAAATATTGCTACAAAGTAAACTAATAGGCTCTACAAGTCCCTCTACTGGGCACAGGACTCTTTTTTTATTTCTGAGAGGGTTTTAGGGCAAGGAAATGCCCGCCGTGCTTCCCCAATGCGTGTTGACGAAAATTGCAATTACATATTTCATTCGTGCTGTCGGGGATCAAACTCGGGAAAATTTACAGCGAACGCTTTGACGATATATTTTTAATACGACACAAATAAATACGATTTAACATATATAATAAAAATTCTTACGTACTTGAAACTTGAACACTTGATAGCTCGTGATGCCTACCGGACAAAGCTACAGGACCACACCGTGCAATGTAATTGAAGATGCGTAACCGCGACATAATTCTCAGTGATGCGCAAGCATAACAGGCAGTATCTCACTTATATAATTGTCATCTCTGCAGTCTATTAATCTTTGCACTTTTATAAGTAATACAGAACGTAGTTGCTAGACGGTGTTGACATCGGCTAAAATCTCTGCGATCGCCGTTTCGTCAAGGTCATTCATGCTAGTTAAAGCCTTAAAAAAAAATTTAATATGACAGGAACAGTGGAAATATTCCATTCCCGATACTTTTAGTGCAGCCCTCGTATTTACCAGAGATTAATTTAATAAACATTTTTTCGTTGCCTTACATTTAGTACTGGTTGTTAATTTTTTATTTTATAATTCCTCTAAGCTAAAACATCGTACGTAAACTAGCTAGATGAGAGTAACGTAGACTCCTTGGACGAATGTGGACGTGTTATAGGATTTAACGGATATCACTCGAAATGCGTAACCTGAAAATTTTGCTAGTCATTTTTTGGAGTCATTTTTTGCCGTGTAAGGGCAGCGTAAGAGAAAAAGTGGAAAATAAAACAGGATATAAGTAGCAGCAGCTTCCCGATAACAACACAAAATAATTTAAAAAAAACTGCGGTTGCCATACTATCTGCCAAGGGTGGCAACTATAATAAATATCTCCTCTATGGTGCAATGTTTTGGGGAGACCCATGGTTAACAGCGGACTTTTGATAGGCTGTAAAGAATGACATAAGTGGGAAGGACAGGGCCTGCCTTCCCCAAGGGAATGTGTAGAGGAGGTACGGAATGTTAGACAAACCTGTCACTAACAGAGGTGTTGGATATTATAAAGAGGAATGTGAGTCACCTAACTCACTTGTTTCAAGCGGAGATGTCAAGTATATATAACGGTCTCTAGTAAAGTGGGGCACTCATTGCCCGACTTACCTCGCCAAGTATCTCTTTGCTGTGTACATCGGGTAAGTGCAACAGCAAGAGTTACACAGCAGCTGCGTCCCTTAATAGGTGGATAGATGTAGATGGTTCTGAATGATGCTTCAAGATCATCAAACTAATAGGATCCTAAGCCTATGACCATCAAACTAAATATAAAGGCTTATATATGATACTGTAGGTGATGCATGTTGCTTGCTTGACATGCATAACTAAAGTTACAGTAGGTATAATACTTGAGTAATGTAGCTTTATTATGCATATAGCACGAAAAGGTTAGCTCGACCGCTCCCACAGAATACCAACTTAGAGCTTAATGCTGTATTTCGTATGGTGACTGCAGAACCAGAGAACCTTTTTACTTGAAACGAGGCAATCCGTCTTAGTCGTCAGAGATAACACGCATTTGCATTTTATTTCTAAACTGAGGATAGATGTAGAAAACTATAGGCCAGAGCATCCAGTTACCGTCAGGTGGACTGTGCACTCGTTTGTCACCTTCAAGAGGCTCAAAACTAAATTGATAGTACAATATTCACGTGACGACATATCATACAAAGCGAAGTGTATTATAGTATCGCGTGTTACGCATAATGTCCAAGGAAGAAGTGTAACTAGGTTTACCCCGTGGACTGGGTAAAGTCGAATTAATAAAATAACCTATGTTCTACGAAAGTACATACATTAAGTAATATCAGCGGCAGTAGGGTGTGACTGGAACCAAAACAGCCACGGACTTTTATTATTTTCATAAATTATACGGATTTTACCCCAATTACTCGGGTAAACGTCGGGCATAACCTGTATTTTTAGAACAATGTCAGCGAGAACTTGAATACCCTTTGCGGTAAGTACGAAGGCTCGTAAATATTTGACATATTCTCTTTAAGGGAATTAGACACAGCAGGGGAGTATAAGCAGTCGTTGATATAATTTTGGAAATATAGCAAAAGCACCTTGTTCTGGGAGTTCTGAAATTGGCACCAGATTCTGATGTGTTTAGAAAAACGGTGTTTATAAGCGATTTATAAGCTCTTTTTTTACATGATAGAGCCACGCTGCCAGCTATCTTTTTTTATAGAATAAGGGATAAAACTAGCACTCTGTCCATCCGATGGCAAGTGGATGTTGTGGCCCACCTCTACATCCCTCCTCGACTAACATAAAATTCTCACAGAATACCAGCGTGAAAAGATGCTAATTTACGCTAGTATTCTGAGAGCATGGTCCTTCCCCGGTCAAGCCGACCCATTCGTGCTACAACTATAATATAGCCGTAGCGTGGCTCTACCGCGTGGTGTCAGATACTATAGAGGAAATGCGGGTCACCTAACTCGCCTGTTCAAGCAAAGATGTCAAGTATATACGTGCGGATCTGAGATAATTTTGGAGTACGAAGGGATCACGTGTCTCTAGTGGTGTAGGGCACTCCTTGCTGACTTACCTGGCCGACAATCTCCTTGCTGGTATATAGAGCATGTGCAGCAGGAAGAATGACACAACAACAGCTACCACTTACTAGCATATAGAAGATTGACGGGTGCAGATGGTTCCAAATCATGCTTTAAGGTAAACAATGGGAAGACTTATATTGAGCAGTAGATTTGTTATGCATGTCGCTCGACATGCGTAACAGAACTAAAGTTACAGCATAATTGACGGCTCCGTGGCTTAGCAATGAGTTTTTGTGCTGGGGGTTGCGGGTTCGAATCCCGCAAGGAACAAGAATTTGTATGGCCTACAAATAATTGTTCCAGGTCTCGTCCTCGTGCAATCTATGTTTGTAAACTGTGTCCAAGATACAGGAGAAAATCCTAGTGTGGGGGTAACGTTTTTTTTTTAAATAACAAGAAAAATATAATTTGCGTTCCACTGCTGAGCACACTCTTAAGTGCTAGAGTTATACTGCAGCTTTATTATGGTTGTAGCACGAATGACTCTAGCTTTTTGTTATAGGATAAGGGTGACAAACGAGCACACAGTCCATCTGATGGTAAGTGGTTGCTGTGGCCCATAGACATCTACATCTATTCTCGATTACTAATCAAAATGCGTTGTCACCCGTGAGGACTAAAATGGAAGGCCTCTTTTCCAGTAAAAAGGGTCTCCCAGGGTGATGAAACTGCCATACAAATTTTTAACTACTGATTGTGAAAATGATAATGTCAAAGCTCAAGTTATTTAATATTATAACATTCATATAAGAAAATAAATACATAATTAAAATTATATTGTTTTTGATATTAATATTTAAAAAAAATCTTATGTGAAATAGGCTAACTTTTATTAGTGTTAATGTAAGCTACAAAATTACCATTTGGAGATTTAAGATAGTTATTGGAGATATCCAATAATTATCTGGTAGAATGCATACATAAACATTGATAATAAAACTGCACATTCATAAATATTAATATAGTCATTGACAATTTACGCCATCTCGTGGTAACTACTGCAAGCCGCGTTGTACTAAAGAATACAACGGCATCTAGTGTACACGATACACTTATCGCATCTATCCCTGGTATATATGGTATATGTATTATCTATATGGTCTCCGGTTCTCTACAATTAACATACGAAACACAGCAGCGTTAAGCTGCTATTTTACGCCCGTATTGTGAGGGTGAAGTTCTAACCGGTCGAGTCGACTCATTCGTGCTACAACCACAATATAGCTGTAGCGTGGTTCTACCACGTACGAAAATGTAGTAATGTAAAACAAAGTAATGCGTGCAATAGGACAGTGTGGGTGTCACCTGGCCGGGCATGTCCTTGCTGTGTCCGTCGGGCACGTGCAGCAGCACTAGCGGCGCGGCGCGGCCGCTGTGCGGCGAGCGCGCGCCGGCCGCCGCGTCCACGCGGAAGAAGCCGCGCCTCTGCAGCTGGATGATGTCGCCCACGCGCACTTTACCCAGTTCCGGCTCGCCCAACATCGACACTTCCCACTGCAATTAAATAACTATATAGTGATAATGGCTTCCCGGTGCCAAAATCTGTGGCATAGACCCCATATTGTTGGTTTTCGCATCTAACACTACTTCCTATAATTTTATATAATTACACGAAAACTACTCATTGAATTAACCTACTTATAATTTAAGGACATCTCAGCTCTGGGCTTAAATCTTAGCCATTGCCAGCATTTGTGTTAAGACCCCCAATCTATTGGTTTTCGGGATATGCATGCCAACGCGTCTAACACTACATCCTAAAGATTTCTTATATTTACACGAATACGACACATTGAATTAAACTAGTTGTAAATTAACGACATCTCAGCTCTTGACTTCAAATCTCAGCCATTGTCAACATTTGTGTTAAAACCCCGAGCTTTTGGTTTTCGGGCTATGAATGCCGACGCGTCTAACACTAAATCTAATAATTTGTTATATTGACATGATTACTAGACATTGAATAAAACTAAGTTTACAGATTTAATCGCGTTTAATTTGACTTATTTTTCTTTCTTTATTTTCCGACGTTTCACGTACTTCACAGCACCCCTAGTCATGGGGACCGAGGTGTTTGACGTCCTGATATCACCGTAATACTTTCACTATCCGATTTTCAGACACAATAGTAAGATAATAGCAATGAACTATATATAGTACATGAAAGAGCAAATGGGTTAACTTTCAAATATTGAATATTAATTTTTGGTCTCATATACGCAGGCTAAGCTTCAAATATCTTGAAGTCTTATAGTTTGCATCTTGAAGAGGTTCACAGACTGCAGACTTCCCAGACTATCTGAACTTTACATTAGCTAAATGTTTTTTATGCGAATTTTTATCATCCTTTTTGTTTTTCCTATATAAGAGAGATCACATTCACAATTTTCTATATAAGAGAGATCACATTCACAATCAAGCGTGTAAACTCCTGCATATTATAGAGACAAATATTACATTTGACTGGAGTTGAAATAAGAAAAATAAGTAAAATTAGTTTTGTTCACTACATCATAGTCTATTCCCAACAGCCCACCACAAGCTTGTAAGTTTAAGGTTTGTTCTATGATCATATTCTATATACATAATATATTATTATCTATTTCATTTTATAAACAATGGTTCTAAAACCATGAATCTTTACCCTAGTTTGATGTCCAATATATTGCTTGAAATCCTCATCCTTTCCAAGAACAGGTTTAGATATAATGTGATCGAAAAATACACAATATGTCTCCACCATTGGTGATTGCGGGGTATCAGCTAACCACGTCAACTTTAAGGTTTTTTTATAGTCCTTATTTTCTAAATTGGGTGTAGCATCAATACTAGTCACTGTACCGTCTGCCGCCCTGAAAGTAATAAAAGTAAAATTTAACAAGTAAATAATTTATATGTACACATACATTTTTCCATACAAGCTATAATATTGAAACAATCACAAACATGTTGCGCGTTCAATGTAGCTACAATAGGACCTGCGGGTTTCAAAAAATATCTACCATTTTTTTAAATAAGCTAGTGCTTGAATGAGCCCATCTGATGGTAAGTGGGTTGAATAGTAAAGCTTTTTAAGACGTATTCGAAATGAAAGACTGCTGCAGGGAAACATTCCAATTGTTTACTGTATGTATTAAAAATGAGAAATATAATATTGTCCCCTAGACGGAATTTTGGTGCCGGCGGCCAGTCTCAACGTCGAGTAGCCATCTTTTTTTTATAAGATAGGGTGACAAACGAGCCCACAGTCCACCTGATGGTAAGTGGTTGCTGTGACTCATAGACATCTGCATCTATCCTCATTTGCGAATCAAAATGCAGGTGCGTTGTCACCCGTGAGGACTAAGATGGAATGCCTCTTTTCCAGTAAAAAGGGTCTCCGGTTCTCTACACTCACCATACGAAACACAGCAGTATTAAACTGCTATTTTACGTTGGTATTCTGTGAGAGCGTGGTCCTTCCCCGGTCGAGCCGACCCATTCGTGCTACAACTATACTACTAATATAGCTGCAATATGGCTCTACCACGTAAAAATCTGCGCGCGCAGGACAGGAACCAAGTGTATGCACAAGCATAGATGCGCTCTCTATTCCTTCACTGTCATAGTCCAATGGGACGGTAATCCGACACGACCAGAGAAAGATTAGGCACAGGACCATCGGCTTCACGTGCTTCGTGCAGGAGTGAAAAACCACCAACTGTCTGACTCTGGGCTCCTACTGGGAATTTTTTAACAGTAATACCCAAAATTGATTTTGGCCCGACCCGGGATTCGAACCCGGAACCTCGTGATCAGCAATGGCGTTCACGACGACTAGACCAACGAGGCAGTCAAAAAGCGAGAAAGCAAAACACTTTAGCCATTGATTTTTTTAAACGTTATACCCACACTAGGATTTTCTCCTGTATCGTGGAGGCAGTTTACAAACACAAACTGCACCAGGACAAACATCCAGACCCGGAACAATTATTTGTAGGCCATGCAAATCCTTGTTCCGTGCGGGATTCGAACCCGCGGCCCCCAACGCAGCAACTCTTTGCTAAGCCACGGGGCCGTCTATAAATATATCAAAATTATGGAAACCCACCGCGTGTCTTATTATCCAATGATGAAAAGGGGAGGAGGGAATTATATTGTAATCAATGTACACAATTTCAAAAATATATTCTACGTAAATCAAATAAGTAATTTGATAGAATCAGAGTAATAACAAATAAGCCTCTTTGCACATCTATCCACCGAGTCTAAAGCTGCTTGTTAGCTAACCAGAACCACCCAAATTACTCAACATTCAAAACTTATGTCTATTAATAAAAAATAATTTTCAGAATATTGGTATGTTTTTTTTTATACAATAAGGGGGACAATGACAAACGAACACAAGTCCACCTAATGGTAAGTGGATGCTGTGGCTCATAGACATTTACACCTATCCCTGAGCGTTGCCATCTCTGAGGACGTAGATGGAATGCCTCATTTCCAGTAAAAAGGATCTTCGGTTCTCTACGTCGTATTTTGTGAGCCTAGTCCTTCCCCTGTCGAGCCGACCCATTTGTGTTACAACCTTCGATTAACAATACCAACTAGATAACGGGTCACGTACAAAATCATAGCCAAATGCTGTCCACGTGAATATATACTTGTACACGCCCCTAGCTGCCCCAACCAAGGATGACGGGATTAGGGCCCATGAGTAATCCCATCATCGAGCAGCAGAGGGACGGGGCCAGAATATGGCCACGTGGAATTTCCTAATTACAATAAACAATATGGGAGAAAGTTAGAAACACATAGTACTTACCATTATCCGGAGCTAACTTCGCACCAAGGCTTGGGCAGGCCGTGAGTGTGTGTAATAGTGGATGGCGAGTAGTGTACAGTGAGGTGTGAATATGTGGGGCCTTGGCAAGCATACGCGACCAGCAGCGGCCGAGTTCCAGGCTGCTCCAAAATGAGGTAATCTTCCGCGGCGTTGTCCACAAACACTTTCCTCGTTCGTCACGATGACAGTCCATTAACTCTATCGTACGATTAACTAACTTACAGAAGCCACTAACTCTCGTTTGTTATAAGGTTAACGCACAAAACGAATACGGAGTGTCCGGATCAAAGGTCACTACCGTTTCGCGTAGCGACAGTTATTTCTAGAATATCAAAGGCCGCACTAGCTAATATTGTCGAATGCACTTATACAGATTCTGAGTCGGACCCAATAAGTCCCGGGAAAGGCTATCCAACAAGGAATGCGCGTTATAAATCCTAGACAGGATGTTTACTAGACGCCTAAACTATTCCGCGGTTCCCGAACAAAAATGACAGTGTGCTGTCGTTAGCACAGCTGGCAGACGACTGCTTTTGCCTTTACGAGTTTTCAACGCCCACCGCTCGACCGACGTGAAAACCGGTATGGCACCGAGCCGCGCGGCATCTCGCGTTAGTTCCTGAAATTATCGTTTGGCGCGAACAATACTTATACGGCTACATTTGTTTACTAAAGAACTGAGACAAAAAATTAAAACAGTTTTATGTTCAACCCAATTACAACCATGGCGTCTAGTAATAAAGTCACAAATCTTACGATCATTAGTTACAAAAAGGACCAAATCAATGGATTACTCCTGTCACTTGGATATGAAATGACGTAGGTTAAATAACATTTCGTGTGAAATCAACCTTTAGTTATAACAAATTAAAGTACTTTTTCCCGTTATTGCCTAGCAAGCTACGTCGTTTTGTTTCGTTTCTGTTTGCTTTTTTTATAGGAGAGGGTGCAAACGAGCATGCGGCTAACCTGATGGGAAGTGACTACCCCCGCCCATGAACAACTGCAACACTAGGGGGGAAGTTGTATGAGGGAGAAAACTTCTTCTAAATCGCAGAGTGGTTGATCGCCAATCATCCAGATGATATGGATGGTATCGCGAGTTTTGTCGCGATGTGCGATGGAGAAATTGAGCGGCTGGAATTAGTCCGAACAATTCTTCAGAGCACTCCCCGTGATAGATGTGATAAAATACGCAAAGAGATGCAACATCTCTACGCCGTTCCAGTGAGTCAAGCCGATCGGAAAGAACTCGGTCGTCGTCGATTCGAACCGGTCTGCGCTGGATGCGGTCAAGTGGAAGGAGCTGGCACTGGGGAGCCCCTGCCCAGAGATGGGAACAGTATTCCATGTGAGGCCGAACCTGCGCCTTGTAAAGTTGCAAATTTTGTACAGGAGGTATGTGTTGCGTTGAACACTAAAATAATTTATAATATGATCATAAGCTTAGTTAAAATTATTTATGATTTGGGCATTTATGTTTGTTGGTGTACATATTTTCCACACTAGCCATTAAATATAATATAGTATGTAGTATAATGATTGATTTAATTAGATAATTCAATATATATATATATTTATTTTAGTTTTTGTATGCATATATGTTTTTTAATGTATGTATTATAGATATAATATATATAGAAATATGTGTAGGTATTCTTTTTTATCACACCAATTTGCCCTACCCCTGTTATCTTAGTGTAATACTGTCCATTCATTGGTTGTCTCGAAGAAATTGCTGTTAGTAATAAGACCGCCCATTACGTAATTCTTTGTGTTGGTGTGTAATAAAGAATAATAAATAAAAAATAAAAACAATAAAGCTAAGTATCTAATCAACAAACAGAGACAAAAGTAGCAATTACCGTTATTTAAAATTCTGGTTACAAATTACTAAAAACGATTACAATACAAATCTACTCCATGCATCTACTGTTCTGTTTCACAAATATTTACGCGTATATTGGCCAACCTTGGCAAAACATTTGTAGGTTTGCTTTAAAATCGGTAATTTTGTTTCAAATATGATATTATTTGTTAGTTGAGAGCTTAAAATATAACTTATTCTACATGTACTTAAAGAAAGCAAAACACCTCGGCCTTTAAATTGCTTTTCGGGCATTATTCTTGCAACTTTTAAATATACAATGCGGCATTGTGAAACGTGTTTACATTGGTTGTGTTTCAAGTCAACTAAACGAAATAAGAGCTCACGATTCCAGTTATTTACTGGGACGTATTTTTTGCGCCGACCCGATATCTAGTTGGTTTTGTTGATCGAAGGTTACAACCATAATATAGCTCATGCATAGCACATGGCTCTGACACGTTAGTTGAAGATAATAAGCTTTACTTTCGTTATCTTACAATATAGATATGAAAGTTGTTTGGTTTAAAATACTGTCTTAATCGCCAATCACAAACCAATATACTCACTTATGTATTTTGTCAATCATGATGTTCCCATAATTGATGAACGTAGCGTTCTCTCCCTCCTTTAATGCTGCAGCATCAACCTGATCTATAAGCAAGCGCGGAGACACCCAAACGGTCTTTGAACCTACGTCTGGATTTTTAGGGTGCAACGCCACAGACAAAGTGCTGTCCGCAGTTACTCCTTTTAGATTTACTGGAACTGGTTTCGATTCAAGAGCCGTATAGCGTGGGGCTATGGGGTCGATGACCTGAAATATTTATCAAATATTATTAAATTGATCAAAATAAAAATAATACCGAACCATACCGTACCGCTGTCACTACCCCGTGGATGTCGTAAGAAGCGGTAGAGACAAATGAAACAGGCGATGGGCAGCAGCATCTTCCTGATAACACCTCAAAATAATATAAAAACTGCGTTTGCCAAACCGCCTGTCAAGCGTAGCAACAACAACAAAAAAAATAACAAAATATCGCCCCTACGAGGCAATCTATGGCTGAGGCCTATGTTCAATAGTGAACTTTGATAGACTGTCTTGAAATAATATAATTTAAAATTAAAAATTTTGTAAAGCCGACTTCAACATAAATTATTAAGAATAACTCAAAAACTATTGGTCTGACCTTGATCAAATTCATATGGGACCACACAAGAAGTACCAGCTTTTAAACAAAAAAAAAGAATCATCGAAATCGGTTCACCCAGTAAAAAGTTATGAGGTAACACACATTAAAAAAACATACAGTCGAATTGAGTACCGTCTCCTTTTTGGAAGTCGGCAGATAAAAAGTCGGTTGTCTGGCCTAGTCCTGGTCTGACAAGTCCAGTGGCTAAAAATAGACTGCAAAAAAATTACTGAAAAGTATTTTTTTTTTTGCAGTAAACCTCTAACGATACCCCATATGTTAAAATCCGTCAAGCCGGTTAGGCTACAGACCCAAAGAAATAGACATACATTCATACGAAGTTATTTATTTGCTAAATTTTTTCTCCAAATGTATATGGGACTACCCTTGAAGTATAACCTTATAACAAAAAAAAAACAATCATCAAAATTGGTTCACAATCTGCGAAGATATCGCGTAACATACATGCAAAAAAAACTTACACTCGAATTGAGAACCTCTTTTATGAAAGGTGAAGTCGGTTAAAAAATGTACGACAAACGTAATTCTTTATTCACATCGTTTATTTCAATCATTTCATTCCATTCCTTGACTTACAATCTTGCCTATACAAAACAGCCTTGTTAACGACACAAGTTTTTTACGCTCATAACACATGCCGTTATCTGTGATAAAATACAAACATAATTATATTCGCACAATTTTGGAATTCCAAATCTGGAGACCCTATTTCAAAACACATATTAGAGTTACTGGAGAAGGTTCAACTCAGATTATCAAAAGTTCCTAGACTATTGAAAAACAAAGGGTAATTCGAGGACAGATGGCCATAGAGGAGACCAGCGAAATATTTCTAACTCGCCAAGAGAAGGCAGTGTTTTTGTTGGTAGTTCGGACGCCCCCATCATTCTCGCAACACTGTGTTGAAGTTTACAGCAAA